GTGAGCTCCAGCATGAATGAGCAGGATGTGGCCAATACTGTTTGGGCCATAGCTAAGCTGTCAGATTCTGGGTATGACTCCCTTCTGGAGGTGCTGCCTGTGCTGGCAGTGAGGGCAACAGAAGTACGGTCTGAGTTGAACACGCAAGCCATTGCCAACGTGATTTGGGCAGCAGCCAAGCTTTCGGAGTCTGGAGACAACTCCTTGTTGGTAGCGCTTTCGTTTTTGGCTGTCCGAGTCGAGGAAGTGACATCTATTATGAATGCGCAAGATGTCGGGAACGTGATTTGGGCCGCGGCCAAGCTTTCAGAGTCAGGCGATATCTCCCTGATGGCTGTGCTGCCTTGTTTGGCTGGCCAGGTCAACAAAGTGAGGCCGGACATGAATGCTCAGAATGTCGCCAACGTGATTTGGGCGGCGGCCAAGCTGTCAGAAATGGGAGATGACTCTGTGCTGGCTACGCTTCCAACTTTGGCGGCCCGAGCTAAGGAAACCATGTCGGACATGCAGGCGCAAAACGTTGCCAACATTATTTGGGCAACAGCTAAGGTATTGGAGTGCGGAGATGACTCTCTGCTGGCTGTGCTGGCGACATTGGCTATCCGAGTCGAGAAAGTGAGATCGGACATGAACGCACAAGAGGTTGCCAACGTGATTTGGGCCACTGCCAAATTGTCAGAGGCAGGAGACAACTCCATGAGGGCAGTGCTGCCTTCTTTAGCTAGCCAGGCCAAGGAAGTGAGCTCGGACATGATTGCCCAGCACATTGCGAATGTGATTTGGGCCGCGGCCAAGCTGTCAGACATGGGCGATGACTCTGTGCTGGCTGCGCTACCAAAATTGGCGGTTCGGGCAAAGCAGGTACGATCGCGCATGATTGCGCAGCACATTGCCATGATCCGCTGGGCATTGAAGCATCTCTCAAATGATGCACGCAACGCAGCGATTGTGGCCTCCTTACAGCGTGTGATATGAGCTGCCGCAAAAAAAGGCATTTGCAAAAGCTGGAAGCGCAACGTACCAGGTCTGACACACTGTTTTGCTTAAGCTCCAGCTTTTTGTTTCGGCAACAGTTAAAGCAATGGAGTGCCTGGGTCTGGGTGAAGCCAGCATGCATGCGCCAACCTGGGCCACAATTGCCTTGAAACATATCGGTTGTACCAATTCATACTATTTCCTAATTGGGAACCCCCGGTTGCAAGCGGGGATTCGGAGTTTTGTCTTCCCGCGGCCTTCCCCAGCACCACATTCATCCCTTGGCAGAGTCACATCGAGAGGGACTAGTCATCAAATCAATGGGATGGTTTTTAGGACTGCGGGAGAATCTCTAGGAAGTGAGGTTCTGGTCCAGGGAAAAGATGCGAACTTACGAACTTCCTAGAGCTTCTCCCGTCGCCCAATTTTTTGACACTCTCAAAAGTGAAAACGCAAGTCTTATTCACAGCCGGTGTTGCTGGGTAAACAAAGCAAGTCATCTTCCAGAGCCACGCTCGTGAACGTGGGGTCCCACTTCAAACCTTATGGAGAATCAGTCGGGGGGCAGGCCTCGGGCAATTTCTAGAGAAGGGAGGGCTCGTATCATCAGTGCTTTCGGGTGGCCCACGTGTGCAAAGGTGTGCAACTTCAAAGCCGTGTTACTCATGCTATGTAAGGCAAACCAGGGGATGATCTCTGTGTGTTTCTTGAACTCAATTGGACCGAGGTGGTTGGCAACTCTTGGCTTTCCCCTTAGCACCAAAAGGGGTAAAATAAATGGAACCCTGCTCCAAATGTGGCGGAATCAGCGTCATGAAGTATGTTGTGTTTTCTGTTTTCCCCGGGGGCATTCGGACATTTGCACCCTTGGGACTTAGCGTGGAACCCGAACAGGAGGCCCTCAGTAAAGGATGCCACCTTTTCGAAACCGCTTTTTTGGGGGTAATGTTTACATGGATGATAGAAAACCTGTCTCAAGGAAGGTTCCCAGGGGAGAGAGCATGCTACTGAGCGGCCTATTTCTTGGCGGTTCCCTGCCTTAGACTTTTGATGTTTAGGCTTCGGATTTTTGATACATCACTGAAGCTGGAATCGTAGCAGAAAACAGTTGAGCTTTGAAGGGATCAGAGGAGCTCGGCTCTTGTTTTCAGCTCCGAAGGCTTCAGGTTTCTTTGGTCCGATAATTTCTGCTGCCCCCCGAGTCTTGGGATGCGCGCGGGCGCAGGAGGAGGAGGCTGTTATCACACTTCGCGACCCTTTTGCAGGAGGCTCCGCGGTCCTCCTCCAACTTGGGTCCCCCGTTTCCGGGCCCAAGAATCGTTCACAAAAATGTTAAATGGGATTTCAACAAGTGTTGATTTCGAACTGGTTCAAAATTGGATCGTTCTCGGTTTAGTATTGGTGTAATGCTGGTTTAACATTGGCTCTAAAGTGTCCCCGAATACAATGGCAAATGTAGAAACATGATCATGGTTGTGCTTTGGCCGCCATTTTAGGGGAGCTCCAACGATTCAAATTGAGAGCGACATGAGAGGGAAGTTTGTGGGGGTAAGGGAACTGCTTTAGGGATCCTACGAAAACAAGCGGGCAGAACCTCTTTCCCCTGGTGAATCCCGTTGTTTGTATCACTCCTCATCACTTTTCATTACTTTTCATCACCCCTCATCACTCTGCTGCATCACTGTGTCTCCCTAGGATCCCTGTCTTTTCCGAACGCCCTCCTTTGTGATTTTGCGTATGCTTCTACTGTTGGTTTGGGCATGTGGGGACAGCCCAAATTTCCAAATCCCCCTGGAGACAGCCCGAGCCCCAATCCAACGTCATTTTTTGGGAGCAAAGCATGTTACTCCAATGGCCCTGGAATGATGATTCCTCTATAAATAGCAATGAGCAAGTGTTTTAACCATGGTTTCAAAGTGGTGCGAAATAGATTGCCGTCATTGCAGAAATAGAGAGAAAAGGCCAAGCATAGTTGTGTTTCTAAATATTGGGAACCTCCAACAAGGTGGTTTACCTTGGATTTCCCTCCAAACATACCACCAAACAGGATACCCTCAACAAAGACACGCCCAGGTGATTGCCCAAGATCCCTGGTGAACGGAAGCAAAGCGCCACCCTTGCACCGCAAACTTCTGTACAAATTTAACTGGCTCCAATGAAAGAAGCCGCCTCAAAACTACCTTCTAGCTGGTGGCCTAAAGGGACGCCATCCCCAAAAGCGACTTTGAGAAACCCTGGAAGTATGCTTGGTACCCAGTTCAATCCCCTGAAGCCGAGGCCCTGCTGAAGCTTTCTCTCCCCGCGCCTTTGCGCCGGAGCCTCGCGCCCCTATCCCAGTGCCCAAAGTGGTGCCGACTTCGGCGGCGCCGGAACCGTCCGAACCGTCCAGGCGCTGGGCGCGGTTTCTGGGGAGCTGAACATCCACGGCTTTCAGCCGGTTGGGTCGGTTGGGCGTCTCAATTCACTCTCTGAGTTGCGGAGCTTTATAATTTTTGTGAGAACGTACGGAACAGATTAGATTTGGCCAATCCTATTGTTTGTGTCAAGGCTCTTCACAGCCCAAAGGGTACTTCTGCTTTTCGGCCTCCTTTCCAAGCGCTCTTTTTGCTCATCTGCCAGAAGTCCCTTCCTGACATGCAGCTGGTGTTGGTTTCAAGCGGGCCGTTTCAATCATCTCGGGCGTCTATGGCTTATGATGGGTTGATTAAGTGGCTTACCCAGAGCCAGAACAAATTCGGGTTATGGTCGAGTTTCCAGGATGCTGACGGTTAGCTGTTCCATCCCGACCAGCACACTTGCAGCAGGAATCATGGACTGTGGTTAGCGGGTCTTCCTTTTGCAGATCCTTTGTTGTCTTCTTTTCGCTATGGACCCGGGCAAGGGTAAGCTGAGGGCAACAAACTCTCACTTCCTTTTTGGGGGATGACGTATCTTCAGCTCACCCATGCTTCTTCCTTGGGCAGATGCTGTAGATGCATTGAAGTGTGCTTTCTCCGCCAAGCGCCAGCAGCAAATTCGGGGGTCAAATGAGCAGAGCCCAAAACCTCTGAATTGGGATCATAGTAAGGTTTATGTTCACCTGTGTTACCATGATGGTACACTCCTGGGTTTTGGGCGCTGCAGATGGCGCGGGGTGCACCATCAGATAGCCGATAGTCGGCACAGGCAGACATGCGTGAGGTCGAGCGTCTGCACGCTTGCCGCAGGGGAAAAGTTAAAAGAGGTCCGTGTGCTGCTGCAGGTTTGAAACCCTTTACCGGTCGGTTTTGATTCTGACTCAGACAATTCTACAGGAAGTTCGCCAAACACCCACCAGAGCGTCTTTATGGGGGTTCCTGTCAGCTGGTTTCTGGGAAGGATAGGATTTGTTGAAGCAAATGGAATGTGCTGAGAAGGGGTTCTTCGCCCTTTGATTAGTTTAAGTTCGACAACCCTCTCTTTAAGCGAAGTTTGTTGTGTTTGGGAGGGGGCGTCGGGGCAGGAACTGAGGTTCTGAAGGGATTGCTGCATCTGGTTCAAAGTCCCCATCTCTAGTTCATGTATACTACGGAGGGGTCCACATGGAGTGGTGTCAGTACACATTCATTGAGAAGCTTTCCCTTTAAAGGAAATTCATGTATAGCCAAGGGGCGCCCTCATAATGTCCAGTTGGAGGTGGGATTCTCATTTGGATTTGTTCAAACGGCCTCGGGGTTTCCGTGGCACCCGTGGCACCTGCGGAGCTAGCAGTGGAGGCCCCAGGCTTGCTCGGTTCCAATCTTGCACAAGCAGATGGCAAAAGGTCAGCGCTTTAGCATGGAGCCTGTCCACCCAACCTACGATTGAGAGAATGCCGTGCCAGATGCGCATCAGATCTGAATTGTCTCTCCTGTCCCAAAAAAGGTTCCTGCTTTTGACAGGCATGAACTTCAGAACAGCACACCAAGGGCACTATGTTTGAGCCCGCCAGTTTTTGGGATGAGAAGCCGGGAAACCAGTTGGGTTTGAGACAAGTCGGTCGTTTGAAGCCCCCGACGCTCGGCCAGGGGCGCGTGCCTACCTCAAACAGGTGGACCAAGGCGTGGACGGGACCCCCCCAAACAGCTGGGGGGGTTCAACCTAAGTACAATCAAATGGGTGCCCCCCCAAAAAAGGCACACCCAGATGGGCTTGTGTTGTTGAGGCTACCCTTTGTCAAGTTGGGTTGAAGGGAAAGCAAAAGGAAGTCCACACTTTTGAGGGGTCCAGTTCCTTATTTTGACATAGCTGTCCCCTTTTGGGATGGAAGGAACCCCAGAGGAAACCCTTGTCACCGAATGGGTCCCTGGATTTTGAAAGAAACACACATATCTTCTCATGATGGTTCCGCGCACGGAGCCAGAGAATCCCGCGGCAGCGATGTCGTTCGCGCTGCAAGACAACCCTGCGCACCACACACACACACACACATATATATATATATATATAGGGGGTGGGGTGGGGGGTCCATTCAGAAACGTTGGCCCTATCGGCAAATAAACCCTCGTTTGCTGGCAGGGCCGTCATTTTGGAGCCTCTATTCGGCGAGCTGTTGTTTTGTGGGCCTGTCGTGGTTTCGGGCCGCGAGCCTTCAAGAACTAGTGTTTTTTTGTTTGCAATTCTCAAGCTGCCTAATCGACCCTCTACGGACTTTCGCGTGGTCCTCTCGCTGTGGCGCGGTGTTCATTTTCTTGAAGCTGGAAACCCTAAACCGTTGCCGAGCACGTGGGATCTGCTCTCAAATTCTTCTCACCCCGCGCTCCCGCGCAACTCTGCAAACTCAGCTCTGCTTCTTCTATTAAAACTATTAAAAAAGACAAACTCTACTGCCGGACCTTTGTTCCTCCAGATCCAAGCTCCGGCGACCCTTAACACTTGTTTCTACATCACTTTATAAGCACTAAAGGAAAGAGCGTCTAGATTGGGTTCCCAAATGATGTTTGCAACAGAAGTTACCCACCATAATTCCACAGGGGAGGGGCGGGGACAGAAGTCAACAACAGGTCGGGTTCCCCGGAAGTGTATCCGAGGCTTGCAACAGAATTCGCCCGCCATGATTGTACAGGGGAGGGCGGAAGTCAGCAGCCCGTTGGGATCCCCGGAAGTGTGCCCGATGCTTGCAACAGAAATCACCCACCACAATTTCACGGGGGGCGGGGGATAATTTTTACCACAACCTCTAAACCCTTCCCCCTTCCCCGGGGGGGGGGGGGGGTCCGGGGACCATAGACACTGGACCATAACGCACATATATATATATATATGCATATTTGTATAAGCATGAATTTTAGTTAAACCCACCTGAGCATGTCCTTGAAATTTCACCCTAGCTTGTTGAGGCTTTGTCAGGATTACAAATTGCCCATGGTCTAATTTGCGAGAGGCATGGCGGGACTCTGCAAATTTCCCACAACAACCAGGGGCCGAGCCCACGTCCTCTTGGGGAAAAAGGGCAGAGCGGTTTGTGTAAACTAGGGGAACCCCGCAAGAGAAGAAGAAGAAGAAGTTTTCCTTTTTGGCTCCATCATAGAAAACCCTATGATATCAAGGCACAGGCGGCAGAGAAGCGAAGTCATGTTGCCAGGCTTGAAGCACTTCCTGGTGCAGTTCCCGGAATTCGCCATCGACGGCTCCAAGGGCTGCCCAAGCCTTGGAGCGGTCTGAACCGAGGCTTTGGGGTCCCAAGACGTGAGGATCGGCGTTGCTGAGTCGACACTTGGGATGATTCTTATACGTGTGTATATATATACTATATATATGTACATATATGTACATATGTATGTAGTATATATATATATACTACATATATATATATATATATATACATGTAGACATGTATATATACATATGTGTGTTTGGTATGGGGCTTTTCAACATGGCGGACCTCCTTCTGGGTGGCTTTACAGTGTAATTCAAAAGGAACCCAACCAGTTTGGGGGAACTACCCCCCCGGTATATGTCTTTGTTGATTAAAATCATGAACCAAGAAAAGATCGGCACAGTCGGTGAGGGGCCCCCTTGACCTCAAACCAGATTTGGCGGCCTGTTGCATTGGGTGTGTCTCCAAAGCGGCCCAACAAATAGGCGATTTCTCTTAACAGCCACCCTCTAAAACAATGGCACACCGACACACCTCACATGTGAATCTGAATGGTTGGAACAGCTTTCAGCATGGTTGCTGGAAGTTTGGGTGATTCAAGCAATACCGCAATACCTAGCCCATGGAGCTTTCTTTGCATGTTTTTCATGGGACATCTAAGGAACCCTGGAAACGGAAAGGGTCGTGGCTCTCGTCGGTGCCGCCTTTCTTGGGCTTTCTGCGGCTTGTTTGAACTGCGCTTTGAAGCGGTCGTTTGTAGGATGCCTGACTTTTCAATGGACTCGTACCTGTTTTTTGTTAAGAATGGGAGTATCTTTGGGACTTGCCAAGCATACATAATGAGCTGTTCAAAGGCAATCCGCAAGATTCTTCCCTTGGGTTGCCAAGGGGTCCCCTTAGTCCCCTTAGTAGTGGTTTTCCAATTGGGATTAAGGAAAACCGGATTGGATGTCCAACACTCGCTCTATTGAAACGGCAGGATTTACTTGTCCGCCTCTGTTTGTTTTCAAACATGATTTTAAACCGAGCAAACCCCATTTAGCAGGTTCACAACCCCATTTACAACACCGAAGCAGCCAAATAGAGTAGCGGGTGCAGCGCTTTTCTCTCAAAGCGAGTGTTAAAGATTGGCGACGTGTTCAGTGTTTATGGCCGTTTCTTTCCGGTTTTCCTTTGAAACTGTCCAAAGCGGTTCCCAGTTTCAACTAATCACCCAAATCCTGAGGCGAGTATGTGGTCTTCAACGAGGCCTGGCTTGGGTCTTCAAGCTGGGCAGGATCTGCAAGCTGGCTACATCCGAAAGTTTCTCCCAACTGTTTGGATGGAACCCCAAGACACTTAGGCAGTGTGCGGCTTTCCTGGGTCGCGTATAAGATGAGCAGGCTTAAGCCCAACAGGTTCAAGATTTGGCCTTTGGTGGACAGAGTCCAGTTGGGATTGGTGATTTATCCCATAGGGTTTCATAGGGTTTCCAGTGACGGCCAAATCTATGGGGTGGCTTATCTGTTGATGGGTTTTTTCTATTTATCCACCTTCCCAGTTTTTACACGTGGTTTAGCCCAGTCTTCAAAGGGGTTCCTCCATCCCACCTGGTTTTGCCCATGCACAGGGGCCCAAAGTGCCAGGGATTTGGGAAGCCTTGATGGTTCTTTAGCATTACCTCCCGATTCGCTGATGTGTTCTTGGTCCCCTCAAGGGAACCAGGGCTTGTCGGCGAGTCAAAGAGAAACATGATCGCTCAACATTTCATGGGGCATCTCCCATGTTGAAGGGTGGGGAAGGGGGGGGGGGGGAGGTGATTTGCCAGATCAAAAGCTACGATTCCCCGTCCTAAACAATGGGTATGTCGCAAACAAAGGCGCCCAAGCCATTTTGACGGGCCAGAGGGTAAGCTTAATGCAATGTTGGAATAACCCCATGCCAAAGACGGGTCTTGTAGGGCTCCTCTGCACTGTTGAAAGGCAATGCGCAAGATCCTTTTGGTGTCAGTGGGGGTCTTGGATTCAAACGCTGGGCAGTCGGATCAAAATCCTCCAACCCCCGGCCCTCCCACGCATGGGTAAGTTACACGGAGCTCATCAACGGAATCAACGAACTGGGGCTAGCTGTTTGCAAAGTGAGTGTAAGTTGAGTGAGTGAGAGTAAGTATGCGTAAGTTGAGTGAGTGAGAGTTAGCATGTGTAAGTCAAAGAGATTAAGTTGAGTGCGTCAAAGAAAGTGTGCATTTGGGTAGTCTAAACTTCCTTTAGGTATTTGAATGAGCTCTTTTGGTGGGGGTGATGTTTCAGATTCAAGGGTACGTAAACGGGTGCTAAATAGCCCAAAGTTCTAATTTGCCCGAAAGGAAGCGACACGCGTATGTAACTGTCTGCTTCCCCAGAACTTCTAGTTATTCAGCACCCAGACAACCATCGGACGATCTTCCACAGCCAAACCTGTGATACGGTTCCATCACTGCATCCGGCCGGAATGGACATCCAACGAGCTACACCATCCGCAAGCACTCAAGTGGTGTTATATATATATAGTTCCCCAGTCTCCAAGCTGGTGCGTTCCCAGTGCACTCAGAGAAAGAACTAGATTTCAAGATACGCGAGGAGCTGTGAATGGCCCGGTGCGTAGCATTTGGGGTGATTCAAAGGGGGGTGAGAGCCAAAGGGAAAACCCACCCAGTTTGGGGCCTCCTGTTCTACTTGCCTGTTGAGTTGGCAAACTGAATCTTTCTGTTGAGAGGTCTTCATTACTTTGGCTCAAAATAGTTTAGCCTTCTCACTTCAGAGGCATATTTTTTCTGTTGAGGTAATTGTCCATCGTTTCTGTCAAGGCCCAAACAGTGCTCCAATCTATTTCGAACACGCCAAGAGCCACCACTCTGGTGGCAACAGAAGCACTGTGTGTGTGTGTGACTTGAAGCTTCCCCTTTCAGGTTGTTGGCTCAAGAAAGCCTAACTCCAACTCCCAATTTTGACACATGCCCGTTTGGCGAACACTGCTTTGGGGTCTCCACCTATGTGTTTCCAGCGCGTCGGCTTCGCCAGGTTGAGCCAAGGAGGCGGGAGTTTTGGCAATCGACTGCAGAGTTGTCGTTGCCAGTCCTGACTACCCTCCCTCTGTGGAAGCTAACAGGAGGGTTGTTGGATGGCCCTGTGCGTGAGTTCGGCTCTTCCGCATGTGCGCAAACCACCTCGGTCGCGACGCCTGACTGAAGGAGGCGGGCGGGCGGAGCGGACGCGTGGCAGGCACAGCACCTTCGCAAGGTCAGGTGCAGATTAAGATTGAGAGGCCTGCGCGGCACACTCGCAAAGTCAGGTACACGAAAGGCACAGCGCTTTCGCAAGGTCAGGTGCAGATTGCGTGGCTCTTGCAAGGTCAGGTGCAGGTATTTTGGCATGCGCAGCACGTTTGCTTGACCAAGCACAGGTTCGTGGCAGGAGCGCGGCGCTTTCGCAAGGCCGGGTGCAGATTTCGAGGCATGCGCAGCGCATTAGATTCGATGAGGCCTGTCTGACAGGCGCCGGTCGCCGGTCCATCCTGCACTCCTTGAAGGCCGTGGCGAACCCCAACTTCCACGACATTGCTATGGAGCAAATCCCAGAAAAATATCGGGGGCATTTCTCTCGTGGCTTGGCTACCACGAAATTCTGCGGCGGCTTCGAGGGTGAGTCCTGCGAGTCTGCCCTGGTCAAGAGCGGTGGCCCGGCGCGGGTTGAGAGGCAGCGCGCGGGCAGCTGTCGGTTAGATTAGATTAGATTAGCTTGGGCATTGATGGATAGACGGACAGAAACAGAGACAGACGTAGAGGTAAATGGGTAGATAGAGAAAAAGAGGTACAAATAAACAGACACATTTGATATTTAGCTAGTCTGTAGTTTGACAGATAGATCGATAGATAGATAGGATTACATAGACTTGATTAGACTACTCGTCAAGGGCAAGCAGTGATGAAGCTGGACATGCAGTGTTTTATGGACCAAGTTTGAGGCCCGGATTGTTGTCTACAGTGAGCGCCCTGGACACCTGCAACTCTTCCAGTATTTCCTGGGTGTCTTCGTGGCTGTGCCACCAACACAGCCCATTCAAGAATTGAAACAAGCCCTGCGCAACGCCTTGCGCCAAGCTGGGGTGGAAATCCCGTTGCCAACCAGCCATCCGGATAGATAGGCAGATAGGTATAGATAGACAGGCAGATAGAGATGGAGAGATAGATTCAGAAGAATGGCTGACAGCAAGAAAGAAAGAAAGAAAGGAAAGAAAGAAAGAAAGAAAGCAAGTCAGAAAGAAAGAACAAAAGACCAGGAAAGTAAGAAAGAAAGACACAACGAAGGCAGTTTCTGGTGCTAGATAAACTTTCTACGTAGCCTCTTTTGCACAATGGCCTTACCTTTAACACATGTAGCTGTACATCGCAGCAATGTAAAAACCATACTCCCTCCTTTTCTACCCTATTGAATTGCCATAGGGAGTGCGGTGCACACGGCAAGCCATGAGACTACTACACGCAAATGGGTCCAAGTAAAATGCATAGTATACATGTGATTGAAAACTATATATTTCCGCAGTGCCACCAAACGCATCTCTTGCCACATGTGCTCGTTCATTAAAGGTGAAGCCAAAACAGCAATCAATCCCGGTGCTAGTTGCAGCGATGATTGTGGCTAACGTTGCATGTAGCAACCACTTCCAATCCTGCATTTTTCAATAGCAGACGCGGCTTGCCACTATGCTGCTGTTCATTCTAATGCTCAAGCAATAAATGCTAGCTCGCCGTATGAGCTAGTGAAATGCGTAGCCTAACCCAGTTTATAAATATAGTGACCTTTGATTTAAAATCAAAGCTAAGCAGCTGCATCACATGCAACTGCAGTGAAGTTGTGTAAGCAAACGGGACATGCCAGAAGTTTGCAAATCGGGGTCAGGAAGCTAAAGCTAAAAACGATCCAACATCCTGGCCTACCTACTGGGTCCCAGTGATCATGGGCCGGGGCCCAGGGCCGTGGGGGGGGGGGGCTAAAAAAGAAATGTTGTTTTTTCGCCCCCACCCCAGCACCTACGCATTATAGATCTCACAAACTGATGGGAATTGCCAAGGACACAACCAACGCATTACTTTGAATTGAAGATGCTCCATGCAAAGGTTATTGACTGGAACAACCAGGAGCCAAAACACACATGGGACAAATGGAGCCCGTATAGCGTCCCGTTCCTCGGAAAGTGGGCGGCTTTTGACTTTTAAAGGCAGGGGTGAAGAAGTGTGAGGAATCAACCAATAGAAAATTGCAAGCTAACAAATGGATAGTTTTTAGAGCTGTTTGCGAAGGGCACCCTTGACATTTCCGAAAGGGATGGGTTTTGGAGCCTGAAAGCCCCAGGACCACTAGGTTTCACCAAACACAACCACCCCAAGTACCCACCAACTCATGCCCTTGTGCTCACCGAAGCTGTTCAACCAGCAAGCAGCTTTAGAACAGACCTAAGCTTTTGGTTCTCTCAAAGAGACCCACCGAACCTTCTGCAACCCAAGCTCTCCGCATCAGAGACCTCGCTCGCCGCCCGCGCAGTGAAGAGAAGCTGTTCAGCCCAAGGCCCCCGCATCGCGGATCGGTTGGCGTGGGGCTTCTAATGTGCGTTTCTGCACTCGCCGAATGAGCCTCAGTCAAGCCCCAGGCGAGTGAATTGGTTAGTAACGGACAGTCCCAACCATACACACGGGTGCGGCCGCCCTCTTGATTCTCTACATGGTTTCAGGCAATTCGGCCAACTTGATACCAGGGATTGATGTTGATTCGAATCGAAGCCCTGGATGTTGTTCAACCCAATTGATAGGATCAGACCACTTCTTCGGGGGACCCACCCCCGACCAAAATCCACTCAGATTCTCACCTAAAACCTTCTTGTCAGAGTTGCTGTGGGTCAAAACCAATGGCACCATTTTGGGATAGGTCCACCACCCATTTTAGTCTATTTTAGTGGCAATTGGGATGTTCACTGGGGGTACAGGATTTTGACCCATGGCCACATTACCTTTTTGTGATTCAGCGATATCCCACAAGATTTCCGTTCCTAAAACCCTGAACCCTTGTCCATTGTCGTTTTCAAGTGGGATTTAGGTTGCCACTTTCCGTGATACCAAGGGAGCGCCTCCAATAAGTGACCAAGTTGTTTTAGGAACGGAGCTCTCATAATGGAGAAACAGAAAGGCACAATGTTCTACAATGGTTCAGGGTTTGCCTCTTGGACTCCGGTTGAAAACAAAAGAACCACCAGAAGGGCGCCCTAGGACACATGTCGGATTTTGAGGGTCTCCTTGCAAAGCACGTGGCTTTTGGATGTATTCAGGAACTCCGCACCGCTTGGAAACCCTTTAAGTCTTAAAAGGCAACCAGCCCCCAGCGCCGCGTGACTTTTGGCGCTTTCAGCCACCCGAAGAGCGTCTCTCAGGACGCGAGCAGTTCCTGCAAACCGTGGCTCCCTGCTTGGGTTCTAGGGTCAACCTTGTCGATTCCGGGCTCACCGGCTTTATGACCGACTCCCAGTTCCCTTGATCTTCGACCCGGGATAGCTTGCCGCTTCTCAGGCAGCCTGTCATGGGCTTACCCCCCAAACCCCAAACAACCAAGAAGCCAACAGTTGTTTCTTGGATCTTGGCAGCAACCCAGTGGTACGTGCTTTGGATGTGAGTCCAAACACCTCCTGTTGTGGGCTATCTGCTGTCTTTCGCACCCGGCTATGGGGGCTGCCAGAGAGACTGGGATTCGCCCTCCGCCATCCGCCAGTGGCCACGTGGAGAAGACGCCCAGCTACTGGGGCACCCCGGCGCCGGGGGCGGAACGACTGGGACACGAGCCCGGGCTCCGAGTGAGACCCGACTCGCGACTCACGACTTCTGGGACGTTGGTCTCCTCACTGATGGACTTTAGTCACTTCACTGTCTGAGCTCATGGACTTCAAACTTTTTTTGGGAGCATGTTACTGGAACACAAGCAGTTCAGACTTGTTTCAGCCAACGTTTGATCGCATACCAATCGCAAAGTTTACAGGGACCCAAACATACTTCTTTTAGCAGTAAAAGGGACCACCTTGTCACCTCGAAAACATGTTATCCTGAATCTACCTGGGCTTTGATTGTGGCTCATGTTGCTGGATTCCCACTGAGAGCGAGTGGCAAACTTTGTTGGCTGACGCTAAAATGGCCCCGGAAAAAAACCGGACCGTTCTGATCCTTTGCATTTGCGGATTCTTTGCCTTCCATGGGCGTAAAACACATATGGTCACTTAATTGTTTTAGCATCTTTCTGTTATTACAGGAACCCACGTTGCGGTGGGTTCACGGGGGATAGACGCCCATATTCCGGCCTCCAGGTCCAAGCAACAGGAGACCATGTTTTTTTGTTTTTTTTTGAACTGCCATACTGTCGCTGGACGAAATCCTGCACCACCGAAGAAACTCTGGAATGATACGATTCACCTGTAAATACCAACAAACGTTATGGTTTCAACCATGGCTTCAATTCGTGGTGCAAACGGATTTCATCTATCCGCATGCAAATTCGACCAAGATGGGCTTTCCGTCGGTCGAGGCCTTGGCATCCGATGCTTGCGGCGCCCTTTCCCGGTGACCCCGGGGCCCGGGTAATCGTCCTCGCGTCGCTGAGACTCGCCTGATTGGCTCAGTTTGATCCCGTGAGAGGTGCCTGGTCTTCGGGGTTTGGTTATGGATGCCCTTTTGGCGTGCGGTCTTTGTGGCGTTGTTGTTCTTCCCTTTGTGTTTGACACCTGAAAGCGGGCTTGTTGGGTGTATGTTGTTTTTGCGGAGGTTCGAGCCTGATTTGCGTTCCGTCTATGATTGAACCGTTGGCTTCAGTTTTTTCCTCCTTATGGATTGCTGGCGAAAAAGCTTCCGTATCCAGGGCGTGAGGGGGGCATGATGCCGGGAAGGGACACTTGAGCGACGGTGAACAATGGGAACCCAGGATTAGTAAGCCGCTGCTTGACATATTTGTAATATATATATATATACATTAGGAAGCCGTCCATTTTTAGAGCAGAAGCTTCATGATGTACTTATGACTAATGCCGACTCACGATTATGATGCCTGCTCCTTGACCTGTTTGCTTAGGACAATTCAACGTCAACAGGACCACCGTGGCCACCCTCACGGGGGTCTTGCGGGACCCGACACGTGGAGAACCAGCAACAATGAAGATCTGCGGATTTCCGCAGATGGGTGCCAACAAGGTGTCCATACACCTGTTCCCCTCAATCTGCTAGGTTGGTTAATCCGGGCGCGGCATTGTGAACCATTCTCCTGGAAGGGGACGATGTGGGCACGGAACAGGAGCTCGCCAATGAAGGTCCCTTCCTTTGGGCATTCGAATGCTTTCAGAGTGTGAGTTGCCCATGTGCCATGGTGAAGACATTCTTCAATTTGGGGTTTGTAGGGATTGTCGTTGTCCCCTCAATAGGAGTTTAGACACCAAGGGTTCTGATTGAGGATGCCGCCTGACCTGTTTGTTTCTTGTTGTTTTTTTGAGGGAGCCGCCGAGTACAGGGCCGCCATGTCCAAAGCCCTGAGAGTCTCCAAAGCGGAGGTACACAGACTGGGCCTGGGCAGACCGGGCAGACCGGGCCGGCGCAGGACGAGGCGGGACCGAAGGGATCCGACGGGCGCGAATTGCTGACATGTTTTACGCTAGAGGCCGCTGACACTCTCTTCCAGTTGCTTGAGATAGGTTTTTGTGTTTCCCCTGTTGGCTGGAAAGGGCATCTGCTGCTGGAAATACTGTTAGTTTGCTGCTCAGGAGCTAGAAATTCATTCCCAGAGGCCGGTAGATCAGTTTTGGGTCTGACTCAAAACGAACGAGCCAGGGTTTACGAGCAGGTTTTAGTCAAAGGGTTTCATTGACCTGCCATTTTGGTCTGCAGGTTTTTGAGCGACAGATCCATTTGACTCTATTTGCCTGTTGTTGCAATTGCTTGCTGGCGCGATAGGTAGTGAATGACCTTCCGGGTGTTGGGAATGAACCGGAAGGAGATGTCCTTAAAGGAAGCCAAATCGGGGATGGTTGTATAGGGGGCATTCCCTCATTCCCTGTTGAGAACCAGCCAGATTAACACAAAGGAGACTCTCGCGAAGTAGGCTTTTCGGGTTCTTCTTACCGAAGGGTTGTTGTATCATGTTGCGTCACCCACCCAGTCAAAGGCCACGGAACGGGGCTTCTTGTTTTTGGCTCCCTTTTCAAGTGGGGGCTGCAAGAAGTCCGACTCTGGAGGTTTCACAAGCGCAGGTTTCCTCAGGTTGCTCGATTTGAGTCCTAAAAGATGCGCAAATCCCAAGACAATTGGATTGGCTTTCCTTGGTTTCCCAGAAAGCCGAAAATGTCTACAATGTCTTGCGAGCAACTCGGAGCAACCCTGCTTGTGGCTTTCCGTTGAATCCCGTCAAGAGAATTCTTAGATATTCCTGGACACCCAGTGAGTTGCTTTTGTTTGTGTGTTTGTTGCGGAAAGATATCCCTTGAAACTCAACCAACAAAAACGAGTGCCCGCTTGTTGTTTCTCCTGACCCAGCACATAATGCAAGGGAAATCTGCAGCTACGGACAATCATTGGGCTGTTTAAGGTATGGGCTTGGAGATCTAAAGGGCTCCTTGCTTCTTTAATTCAAGCCCATGTGAGCCACAGAACCTGGGTAGATTAAGGATAGTAAGGGACGCCTTTTTACTTCTTTACATGGTTTTGGGTAGAACATTCTAATACCAGGTTTGATTGTGACTCATGTGCGTGTTCTCCCACGGTTGCTCTGAGCCAGACTCTGAGCCTCAGGATGTTTTACTAATTCTCCACTCCAAATATTTAAGAGCCCTTCAAAGGCAACACAAAGGGCCTGAGCCTCAGAGCGAATGGAGCTTTGGCCCTTTTGGCGTGGCGTGTCCCTCCCTTCGAACCGCCCAGAGTTCCATGGACGGGGCTGGCGGTTTCCGCCGGATCCGTGCTCCGAGGCTTGGGCCTATTCCCAGCCGGGGGCCCTAAATCTCACTTCCTGAGTTCATGAACTTTAAACTCTTTGGGAAGACCAGTTTAGTGGTAAATATAAAGTTTGAGCTTTTTTTTGGGCCATCCACTCAGCAAGTGAGAATGCGTTTGCCCTAAACATGGCAAGACCAAGATGAGCCAACCGGACTCAACCACAACACCATGGAGGATCCGTAAGAATCCTTCTCAAAAAAAGGGGTCGATCTTGGGGCCATCCTAGGGGGCTCATCTTGCTCACGTATTGCAGGATTGGGGCCATAATGGGGGCATTGTTGAGGGGGCCACAATGACCTCAACCATAAACAATCAGTAGACTCAACCCACAACACCAGGGCAATCCGTAAGGATCCTTCTTGGGAAAGGAAATGGATCCTGAATGATTTTTGCCCTTACACCATGATACGGGAACAGAGGTTTGCTTGTTCCCTTACTTAAGGGCATCCACAGCCCTGGCACCATGTTCCAGACCTGTGCTCTCGGCCCTTGATTCCTTTTGTTTCGTAGAGGAGAGCCACTGGGTTGGAATTCTTTTCAGCAATGGAAGAGGACAAAGCTTCCATGATAAGGAGGGTTCTTGCGGTTCTTTGAGGGGTTGGCGGGGGGGGTACTATTAACCATTTTCTTTTTAGAACCATGGGACAGTATTGAGTATTTGGCCAATATTCAGAGCCAAAAAAAGGGGCAAGCTGTTTTGCCACGAGAACCGTTGGCTTGGTGTGACCAAGTCAAGCCTACGTGCTGGGCACCATCTGACAAATCGGGCGTGTCTTTCATGCCCTTCACCTACGGCTACGCGATGACCATCAGGCGCACAGGGCAGCACCTTGAACCGACTGGCTGCCCGTCAACGGCGACCCGGACGCGGAGCAGACCCGCCGGGAGGTTGTTTTGTCCTTGTTTTCAACACCCAGGGGTGCACGAAATGTCTAACCATCAGCCGTTGAAAGAAACTCAAAGTTGGTCCAGCAAGTCATGCTCCAGGGAACCCCGGAGATGAGTGAAATGGCTTTGCGGTTTCTAGGTTGACTCTCCCTCCCATAGTGTCACTCCTGTTCCAGACAATGCCCGGGACCTGCCAAAGATACTGCTCGAGGGCGATGAACCAAACCCTTTTTCGCGGCTGTCAACAACATCTTTTCTAAGGGATCCATGACCATGAACTTTTCAACATGGCACATGTGAACCGCTTTCCGAGCTCGATTCATCCCAACACCCTGCCACGGATTTGCTGAACTTCTCACCTTCAACTCTGGTCCCCCCCCCCCGCGGAAGGCCCTGGCCTCTTATGTTCTCAGGTTCCAGAGGGCTCCAGAACTCCCCCGAACAAAGACAAAGACTTTCCTACAAAAATACAAAAAAACAACGCTGGTTCCTTCCTCACGGAAGCACAACTCTTTCTTGGAGCATGCCACGGGAATAATGATTCGGGCCTGTTGTGGGCCATGGCCAAAGACTCGCAAGGGCACGCTCAGGTATGGCCGTTGGAGGTATGGAGGTTATGTACCAGTTATAAAAGGCTTTTTTACTATGGTAGAAGCTTATATTGGTTGCATACAAGCCACCATACCTCCAAAACCACACCTGGAGACGCTCTTGATCATGCCCGGGTGAAGGAATATCCTAGCCAATGCCTTCTCCTTTCGACAGCGACGTCCCCAGAAAGGTTCGATCGCAGGTTCACCCCCCTCGTAAGCCCTTGTGTTGCAAACCAAGATTTGTTGCTGTCGTCTTCCCCCAGCCGAAAAGCGAGCCGAGGCAAGGGCAGATGACTTGGCAAGGCGGCCGACCGGAGGGGATCGGAATTGAATCCCATGCGGGGTCACAGCAAGGTGGAGGGCCAAATGCGCAACAACCAGCCCCTGGTCTCCTTTGAATTGGAAACTACCAGCTGAGTGGGAAAGATGTGTTTCAACAGCCACGGGAAATCAATGACAGACATTTTAAACACCAGTTGTTTGAATATGTTTGAGCAATGCGGCCAGGTCCCTTTTCAAAGGGGCCGAATCGCGCACCCCGAATCCTTCTGGGCAGTCTCCACTTTTGGGGTTTCGGCCCGCAAGCATGGCACAGGGAGACGCAGATTGGGTCCTTTTGACTTTTTGGGGGCAAGGCCGGCATTTGTTCAGAGGGTTGAAGGACCATGTCTCTCATTTCATGCCCCAGACGGACCTGTCATGTTCCATGTTGAAAAGCTCCGTTGCCACGTTGCAAGGTTTCCCTTCATTCTAGTAGCTCACTCATGATGAAGATCCTCCCCCGGGGGGTTCCCTTATTTTCAGTTTGGGGCTTGGAGTAAGTAGATGTATCATCCCGGGAGAAACCAACCACGCCACAAGGCAGGCGTCGCCATGTTTCGGGCCCCAAGCTGTTCGGACGCACCTACGTATGCCTTGGTAGGGATGGTCACAGGTCCTTTTTAGACAACCACAACAGGAGTTCCTATTGACAACCGTGAACATAGCCTACGAAGGGAGGTTGACCAAGGGCACACATGTTCGACGGGTCTTCAAGAGGATGATCTTGTCAGGTATCCTCCGACAAGTGTTACCGGTAGGCTTCCTGAAGACATGCGGCTTGTCCGCCATTCTGCTACATCCCAGTTGTTCATTTTTTGTTTGCCAAAACATGGGTGTCAAAGGGCAAACCGTTGTTCCAAATCATGTTTTGTCAGGTTGGCCGGCCTACAACTGGCCCAACGAGGAGGCGACGGCTAGATTGCTTTGCTTTTGCGCGAGGCTGGTCCAAATGTGGGGAGACACACAAGCAAACGCTTGGCTGTTGGCTGCCTTTGTTTGGTTATAAATTTGGTTGTACACCTCCCAAATGGGGTTTACAAAGTTTATAACCCTATTCAACCAAACTGAAACGGCAGAGCATGGGATCACTTTTGAAGTTATTTTACATTTGAAGATTTACTCCGGTCGTTTAGCAGTTTCTTTAGCTCAGGATTTGCCACAACCCTTTTTGGTGGCTTTAACCATCAGCTTCTTGGCCCATTTAAGGCGCACTTGGGCCTTGTGGAGATGTGCCGGGGGCGTGAATTCTGCCCTCTTTCTTGCTGAGGGCCCCGTCAACTGACCAGGGCGTTTCAGGGACATCAACGTTCGACCGCAGGCTCATTTAATGCGAGTTCCCCTTGATAGCGGTGATGGTTTTAAGGGGACCATCGGACACTTTGTAGCGAGTGTTTGACAAGATTCCTCAAAGGATGTAGACATATTGACAATATTAGAAGCCACCTTTCTCAGCTGTTTCAGCGGTTTTCTGCCTTGGTGATTTTGGGCACCCTACAAGGGGCCTTGTTTGAACAAGCATGCCCGGTTCTATGCGTGAGCTCACACTCCAGTTTGAGCCAGTTGTGGCATACCATGCGGAAAACCGGGGCCTGTAGAGCGTCCTGCAATAAAGAATGACCGGTCTGTCCACGTCCTTTCCGGCCGCTGATTCTGACCTGGATCATATTGTGGATGGACGAAATCTGTTTTGCACCTCCTGAACCCTGGTTTCTGATGATTCCCCTGCAAAAACCAACAAATAAGTGGTGCGAAATAATTTTTGCAACCATCCACAGTATGTTCAATGTTGCCCAGCTATTCTTGCGGCATTTGGCCAGTCCACAGGCTCTTCTGCTGAACAGACGGAAAAGGTGGAGTTTGAGGGGTCCAAGTCCTGCCCAGTTTGTTCTGAGAATTGGAGCTCATAAAAGGGGTACCTTGTACCTTGTTGGACCCTCAAAGTAAAAGCGCCCTTCAAACTAGGAACCTTCACGTCTTATCTCCAAGTGTTAGCCCGTCTCAATAAGACCCACGCGTACCGCCGAAAGTCTCTCTGATTCGATTCGTGAGAACTCCAGCGGCCTCAACGAGATGGGCCTCAACTCCCAAGGCGCTGCGCTCGCGCTCGAGCTCTGAATGGCCTTCGTAGTGGCGGCTTTTTGCAGGCCTTTTGGTGTGAGAAACAAGAGGGCTTTCGCCGGGGGGCGGACGGAAAAACAGGCTGGTAAAAAAGAGAGCAAGTTTTGGGGAGTTGTTCTCGATCTAAGCGCATGCTTAAGAATTAAAAGGAAAGACGCCGAACCGCCGAACTGCGTGCGGCCCTTTTTGTCTGTGTGTGTTTTCCGTTTTGGTGGAAAATCAGGGGTTGGAGCCTTTTGGGGGGTTTTGCAGAACCTCTTTTAATTGGACTTGAAAGGAATACTTTGCGGAAACTGGCCATTTGCCTATGTCCGAACATAGGGCGGGTTTCGGCAGTGTTTCGTTTGTGGGACACTCACTCAATTTGCCCCCCATCAGGCACGGAAGTGACTTTGGTTAACCGGCTCTGGGTCAAAACCAATGGTATCGTCTTGGGGTAGGTGCACCACCGGGATGAGCATCAAAAAATAATTATTTTGGGGATCAACAAAAAATTATTTAGGGGATCAAAAACAAATTATTGAGACCTAGTCTCCGGTCCCCTGCTCTCCTGGTCTCCTGGTCTCCTGGTCCTTGGTCTCCTGGTCCCCATGTCTCCTGCTGGTCCTGGTCTTCTGGTCTCCTGGTCTCCTGGTCTCCTGGTCCTTGGTCTCCTGTGTCTTGTCTCCTGGTCCTTGGTCTCCTGGTCTCCTGGTCTCCTGGTCTCCTGGTCTCCTGGTCTCCTGGTCTCCTGGTCTCTTGGTCTCCTGGTCTGCTGGTCTCCTGGCCTGCTCTCCTACCCGAAACCGACCCTAAACCAAACTACACTCACCCTAAACCAACCCAAAACCAACCTACAAACCAACCTTGAAACCGACCCTGCGCAACTTTTAAACCAACCCTAAACCCGCCCTAAACCAATCCTAAACCCACCCTAAACCTACCCTAAACCTACCCTAAGCCAACCTAAAACCACCCTAAACCCAACCTAAACCTACCCTAAACCAACCAAAATCCACCCACCGCAAACAAACCCAACACCCTCCCTAAACCCACCCTAAACCCACCCTAAACAGACCCTAAACTAAACCTAAACCCACCCTAAACCAATCCTAAACCAACCCCAAACCCACCCGAAACTCCAAACCCACCCAAAACCCAACCAAAATTAACCCTAAACCAACCTTGAAACCAACCCTACACAACCTTAAGCCAACCCTAAACCCAGCCTAAACCAACCCTTAACCCAACCCTAAAGCAACCCTAAACTCACCCTAAACCCGCAAACCAACCCTACACCTACCCGAAGCCAACCTAAAACCACCCTAAACCCAACCTAAACCTACCCTAAACCAACCAAAATCCACCCACCGCAAACAAACCCAAAACCCTCCCTAAACCCACCCTAAACCCACCCTAAACAGACCCTAAACTAAACCTAAACCCACCCTAAACCAATCCAAAACCAACCCTAAACCAACCTAAGCCAACCCCAAACCTACCCGAAACCCAACCAAAATTAACCCTAAACCAACCTTGAAACCAACCCTACACAACCTTAAGCCAACCCTAAACCCAGCCTAAACCAACCCTAAACCAACCTAAACCTGCCCTAACCCTACCCTACACTTACCCTAAACCACCGTAAACTTAGCCTAAACCATCCCTTAACCCAACCCTAAACCAACCCTAAGCCACGTAAACCGGCACTAAACCCAGCCTAAGCCCACCCGAAAACTACACTAAACAGACCCAAAACCAACCTAAGCCAACCCTAAACCCGCCCTAAACCTGCCCGAGACCTACCCTAAATTTTCCTTAAAAACCATAAACAACTTTCAAGCCCCAAACCAAACCTAAACCCACCCTAAACCAAGCCTTAGCCCAGCCAAACCAACCCTAAAGCAACCCTAACCAAACCTCATCCAACCCTAAACCCACCCTAAACCAACCCTACTGACCTTCAACCGACCCTAAACTCTAAACCAGCCCTAAACCCACCCACCCTAAACCTACCCGAGGCCAACCTAGAACCACCCTAAACCCAACCTAAACCAACCCTAAACCAACCTAAGCCAACCCCAAACCCTCCCAGCCTAAACCAACCCTAAACCTGCCCTAACCCTACCCTACACTTACCCTAAACCACCGTAAACTTAGCCTAAACCATCCCTCAACCCAACCCTAAACCATTCCCAGGCCAACCCTAAGCCACCCCTAAACCCACCCTAAACCCACCCTAAAGCAACCCTAAACCCACCCTAAACCCGCAAACCAACACCTAAACCTACCCTAAACCAACCTAAATCCACCCACCGTAAACGAACCCTAAACCGTCCCTAAACCAAGCCTGAACCCACCCCAAACCCATCCGAAACCCAACCTACATTAACCCTACACAACCTTAAGCCAACCCTACAGGCATTTAACCGATGCTAGATTCGTTGATAGAACTGCGCTTGTATCTGAAAAGTTGTGATTTTCGATCTGGAGCTGCCAAAGTGACCTTCGCGTACTGCGCTTGTGTTGGAAAGTGTCCATTTTACAGCTGGAGCCGTAAAATGCACGCGCTGTTGCCCGAAAATGATGTAAATTACAGCGTTTTTGCACCCCCAGGCCAGATAATTTGTTTTTGATCCTGTAAATAATTTGTTTTTGATCCGGGTGTCGATAATTTCTTTTTGATCCCGTAAATAATTACTTTTTGATCCTGCACCCTGCACCACCCATTTTAGTCTATTTTAGTGGGGATTGGGATGTTCACTGTGTGTACGGGCTTTTGACCCATGGCCAACCAAAGGCACATTTTGAACTCTCTTACAAAACCACATCTCAGGGAACCCGTTTTAACGGGTCTTAATAGGCTGGTTTCACCGCTCGCAGTTCACGTCACCTTGTCCAGCAATCACAGCACCTCTCTGTTTTGAGACATGTTTGGACATGTATCAAAATAGGGACCCCCCCAAAAAGATATAACATAAACATAAACTGTTGGGTTTCCTTTGGGGTTTTCTTTAAACCCAACCCCAAATAACGAGTGGACTTACCTGTTTCTTCTCAGTTTGTGGATGGACAAAGTCCACTTCGCACCGCTTGGGATGACCCTATGGCCCTATGAATACTGGGACAAAACACACGTGGACTGGTGCTGGATCTTGTCCATGCACAGTATTTTTTGATATTCATGTGCCAGTTTCAGGCTTCTTGCAAAAACTTCTGGTAGAGGATGCATGACCGCCCTAGTTGGAACGCTTAAACGAGCGCCAATATTGGTACTTGGATCAAGTTTGAGGGTGTCTGAAACGTGTTTTCGGACAGGGTTGCTGTGAGAGTGTGGACAAAATCGATATTGAATTGTAGGCAAAATGATGACGACGTCACGTTGCGGGCTCCGGGATCCTTGCGACGTCACCCATTTGTACCTTTGGAGGCTCCATGCTTGCCGGGCCTTACGCGGCCGCGTGCCACCCTACCGGCATGAGAGATGTCACCAGATTTGGCGAAAGCAGCCCGACAAGTGGTTGATCCCTTGTAATTAGAGAAGAGCAAACGCCTGCAACAATAGGCTAATCATGCAAATAGGTGATTCTTTTTAGTCCTTCTCCGCAGGTAAGCCTTAGTTGGAATGCAAGGGGAAAGCCACACCCGCAAGACCTCCAAACCACTCGGCCCCAAACAACTTGCGAATTCGAGGTAACGTGATCCTACGCAACCGGCACAAATCACCTTACTGAGGAACAACCAATACATGTGGGGCTGTCCTAAGATTAGAGAAGGCAAATCGATTTGAACATGGAAAGAACAAACATAAAGCGAGCAAAAGGAGAGTAAAGAAAGAATAGATCAATTCCCAGCTCCTAAATGGCTCCACAATGCTCATGGGTCACTAAAACTAAGGGCCCGGTTTTGTTGGGGTCTCCATCTTTTTTGTTCAGGCCGGGGGCCCATGATTTTAGATTTGGCAAAGTTTCAGGGAAACAAAAGATAGGGTGATAGGGTGAAACCGATGTAGCGAAAAAAGGGTCACCAACCCTTCAGTAGATTATATCCGTGGTCCTCAATGGGTCTGTCTTTTTTGTACCTTTTGGGGGTTGGCTCAAAGGAAAACCCAAAGGAGAAAAACCATCTTGGGGGATCCCCTAAAGAAACACACTCAAATGGGTTGACAAGGGGTTGCTGCTCCAGACGCCTTTTAAAGGACGGTTCGCATCTACGGATCCTCCAAATACAGCTTAGAGTCGATGTATTCAGAGGATACCGTAGATGCGAACCTTCGACTAGAAAACCCCATGAAGTAAATACAGTGGATGGCAAAACAAACCAACACGCCGATTCTTAGACCATGCGCACTAAGTACTGTGGATGGGCAAATCCACGAGTTGCTAGGAGGTTTATACACTATTCATAGGGCTTCATCCATCCGGACTGGTGCCGATCGGTGTGGGTTTTGTCCGTCCGAACCACACGAAACCAAGCGCCAGCCATCGCGGCGGCCGTCTTCTACGGCGCGTCCGCTGCCATGGCCGCGGCGAGTGCTTCCCAGGCGCGAGGGTGGTTTGCCGTCGTTATTGGGATCCCCCCCTTTCAAGTGTAGTCATGCAGAGAGAGAGAGGGATGGAGGGAGGGATGGAGGGAGGAGGAGGGAGGAGAAGGGAGGAGGGAGGAGGAGGGAGGAGGATGGATGGAGGGATGGAGGGAGGGGAGGAGGAGGGAGGAGGAGGGAGGAGGAGGGAGGAGGAGGGAGGAGGCTGGAGGAGGAGGGAGGAGGAGGGAGGAGGAGGGAGGAGGAGGGAGGAGGAGGGAGGAGGAGGGAGGAGGAGGGAGGAGGAGGGAGGAGGAGGGAGGAGGAGGGAGGAGGAGGGATGGGGGGAGGGAGGGTTCCTTGAGACGTACTAGCCTCACCAAACTGTTGCGGAACCCGCAACATGTCTGGTTTCCTGAGACCGTTGGTTGCTTCCGTTTTCTTGCCTCTGGAGGGGGCGTCATTTTTCGCGCCACTGGAGGGGGTCCATACAGGTTGCCTAGAAGGAGACCAATTCTGGCCAGGTTGAAAGTCGCATTTGCCAGCTGATTTGGGTATGTGTCAACATAGGGGGGACCCTAAAAATAGTGTTTTTCCTCTTGGTTGCCCATTCAACCCCGCCCAAAAGGTCACCCTCACAAGACTCAGCGAATCAGCGGGGAGCTGCCCCCAACCGCCGGTGCCACGTTTCTCCGTTTTTCTAGTTTCCCCAAGAAAAGGCAACGACCAACGCCAGCTGCTGTTCTTGTAGGGTGCTCAGAGGTTGGTGCGTTTCTTTTCTTTTTTTTCTCGCACAACCCCAACAATTGGGGTGTGACCTTGGCCGGTGATGAAGGCTCCTGTTTGCTTTTTTTGAGGGTACCCTCTTTGAATTGGTTTAAAGGGACACCAAAAACATCATTCCGGGGGTTCCCCTGGTTTGAGGAAAACAAATCCTTTGAACACCCGCGCAAACTTAGTGGTGACCCATGAGCTCTTGATTTGTGACCGCACACAAGAGCTATCAAGGTTCGGATCCCAGCTGATTTTGTTTAGGCAAAGTCCTATTTGTCAACAAAGCCTTAGTTGCGGGGGCCTTGAGTTGGTTCATCCTCTCCATGCACCCTCTCACCAATTTGCAACCTGACGTTCGGGGGGTCCTGGAAGATCTTAAAGGGACCCCCTGCCCCAAACGTGAGATTCCGGCTGCGAGGATATATGTCTACCTGGACCCTCAAACTACCCATAAACATGCGCTAATTATCGCCCCAGAATTATGGGGTGATGTCCTGTTTTCAGGGTAGTTTGAGTTATTTCCCTTTTTCAAAGGCAGTTTGAGGGTCCAGGTAGTTTTGGCAGTGGATGTTTCAACTGTTGCAAGCTCTGCCCGGGTTTTCCGCCCGCCCGCCTCCGGATTCCGGATTGCCCGCTTTCCAGGCGCAGGCCCAGACAGGGTACATGCCGGGAGCCTCGGAGGAGACCAAGCGAGACCGGATCCCACCCCTTGGGGGTGCCGACATTTTGGTCCTGCCGTGATTCTTGAGACCTAGGACTCCAAAACCATTTGGAGGAAAAGGAAGCTCAAGACTCAAGATGCCCCAGGCTCTTTTTTGTTTTGGTTTTGTTTGTTTCTTTTCGTATTTTGTCATGGCACCGAAAAGGTGATCGCTTTTAGTCCATGGTCCTTTGGGCAAGTGAGTTTGAGGTGTGGTCACATTGTCCGGTCCATGTTCCATGAGGAGTTCGGCAAAATGGGGGACGCGCACATGTTCAGCCAAGCAAATAGAGGCTCACGAAGTATTCCATGTACTCTTGAGGAAGCCTCATTTTATTTGGGGGCGGCAAAGGCTTCAAAATCAATCGACACGCAAATATGCTTCGTAGTAGGCAGTTATCCTTCACCTGTTGTGGAGGATTCCTCGTCAAAACCAAGCAACTATAGTGATGCTTGGTACAGAAGTGGGCAGGCATCCTCACCTTTTGGAGTGGGAGTTCCCTTCAAAGTTAGGCGACGAAAAGATACTTTGGTACAGAAGTAGGCAGGTCTACTTACTGGGGTGGGTCAACCAACGGAAAATATTTATAGCTAGAACACGACTCTCCCTAGATGTCCCCTTGGTGGTCTTGAGCATCACCTTTGAGACCAAGTGAAAGTAAAGTGAGCTTCCTTCCAATTGGGAAGTGCAGGGAGCTCTGTAATTAAAACCCACTTCTATTGGATAGCTTAAACCTTTAAACAAAATCTGGAACCACAAGTCAATGGGTCCAGGCTTTGCTAAATTAAGACCGGTTTTTGGCTAAACCACTTTGCCAGGTTTCGGCTGCTTTCAAATGCCAACTAAAGCCAAATAAGACCGCTTCGGCGCCCAAAACCCCTAGCTTGCACTTTGGTACTGTGGTTTTGACGAAATCCATTTTGCACCACCAATCAGAACCCTGGTTTCTGATTCCCCTGTAGAAACAAACCAACGTTGTGGTTTCAGCCATGGTTTCATTTCGTGGTGCGGGATCTCGCAGCCATCGAAGCCACCGCACGCCCGTTTCGCGAGGCCGCAGAACTACACGACGCCCACGGGAGGTGGAGCAGGAGGAGGCACGGGTCGGTTCAACTCGGATTCTTTAGGGTGCTTGTGTGTGTGTGAGTTTGTGTGTGTGTGTGTGTGTGTGTGTGTCGGCTTGTGTGTTTATGTGTCTGTGCGTGTTTGTGTTGGTATGTTTTTTGTGTATTGTACTTTTCGACACGTTGCTTTTGCGGGAAAGGCCTCCTTTGGGAGAAATCCTTCGAGCGGCTGCAAGGAGGCGAGGGAACCTCCGCTGCGATCCGGCGCGGGGCCCAGTTTCTTCGTGGACCCCCAAAATGGGGGGTTTTCCTTCTGGTATCCCTTTGAAAACCCAGCCCGAAAAGGGTTCCCTCAAAGAACGACACCCAAGTGAGAGTTGTTCATTCTGCAGGCTTGCTGCGGGCATTCAACCGATGCGCCTCAATCTCGAGGCCGAAGATCTGGCCGCCAAGGGTGGTGAAGCGGGTCGTAGCCTGCCAGGCGACGGTAGACGCCATCAAAACCAAGGGCCACTCTGGCAAAGATCAGAGCGGGTTCCGTGTGGGCATTATCTGCGGCTTTGAAACTGCGGGTGGCCGGGAGGCCTGTCAAGTCCTTGGTGGAATTCCCAACCTCCGAGTTCTTCAACGCGCGTTGCGTGCAGCATGAACTTCAGCAGGTCGAGATTCTCCGAAGGCCAAGCGGCAGTCAGGCATCATCGCCGTTCTCAAGGCCTGCAGCTCCCACGGCGCAGCCCGACATGACGATGTTCGGGGATGGCGTCTGTGCAGGTATATGCCCCTGTTAGTTGGTACTGAAAGGGGAACCAAATGGAAGCCAACTGATTTGGGAGAACGCATCGGATTTTGAGAAACCTCCGTGTCAGGTTTCTCCTGCACATCCCTGAGCACTTCTTGTTCAGGGTGAGCCTTGCCACCTTTTTGCAATGGAAGCAAGGAACCACTGCAGAAAGGACCAAGCACTTGCCTTGAGCCTAATCGACGATGCCTTCAGATGGCCGGGATCTGATCACATGTCTCAACATTGGGGGCCCCTGAAAGTGAAACTCCTAGTTTCCCTTCGATAACCTTGCCCCAAAATTAAGGGTCGATTTCCCTTTTCTGATGGGCAGTTTGAGGGTCCAGGCAAGCTAAAACGGAGCACATCTCCGGGCCCTGCGTCGCGTTGGTGCGTTGTTCACGTTGCCCAAACCTTGAAACATCAGTCGGGCATGACTGAACTAAAGCCCTCATAGACGAGGCTAAATAGTGACACGCGTGGTGCTCTGATCATGAATTGGTTTTGAAGTACCTCACAACCACACTCTACTTGTTTGGGCTCTTCTAGCGACTCTCCCCCCGTGTTCAACAACACCCTGCTATTTATTTACTAGGGTGGTTGGCCAATGAGTGGCTCATAAACTATGTGAGAACCCACTTGCACTCAGGCTAGTTCCACTTGGGCGACTTATGAACAGGTTAGAACCCTAGGCCACTTGGAGACCCCACCCTTTGGGTTAGCTTTTTCCCACAAATGGGGTATTTGAACATCAACTAGTCACATGGCGCCGCTCACCTCTCTTCACTTCCCTCTTTTTGGGTGTCCGGAATCAACGAGTCCGAACCTGCCGGTAAAGTAGGCAACCCAGCGTACCAGTTGGAAAAAGACAAATGGCGGGTGGCTTACCGAAACGCCTGCTATATATATGGGGATTTCTTAAAGGAACCGGGCCCCCAAAATTGCATCGGCCTCTTGGTATCATTTTGTTCCATGCCAAACAACTCCGAACTTGAGAGACCCCCGTCTTGGGTGGCTTTTGGCTCCCCCCAAATTTTCGGACCGCTTTGGATCCGGCAGCCTTTTTTTCTTTTTTCCCCATTTTTTTGCCCGAGGCTCCGGGGCTTGCCCTTCTCCTCCACTGAGCAGGCCTTGGGGGGAAACCAAAGGGAGTGCATCTTAGGGGTGAACAAAATGCGTTTCATCGACCGGGTCCCAAGCACCCGATGATGTGTTGCTGTTTGTTGTGTTTTTTTTGTTTTTGGTTTTGGGGGAGATGGGGGGTCAAGAGGGGGTCAAGATTCAATCAACCCAAATTCTGGGGCCCCGAGAAAGGAAATCCAAAAGAAGAAGGCTTAAGCAATTGTAGCAGCCTTTGTTTTCTGCTTCAAGATCCAGATTGTTCAATGTAAAGTTGTGTGTTTAATGGTGGTGCCTTTCAATTAGTTGTTGTCTTTGTGCAGTCTTTCTAGTCAAATGAAAGGTGTAAGATACACAATCACATGAGTTGTTCAGCAGTCAGTCGTTTGGGCCAACGATTGATCTTGCAAAGGGTTTTTGCAACCTAGGGCCTCATGACGTTGGCGCCGTTGGAAGCGAAATCTGAACAGTTTCTCAGGATTTGGGTCCCTCTGTTGGAAGCGGCTAAGTGTCTCTGTGTTGCAAAGCTAACCCTTTCCGTGGGTGGCAAGATGGGGCTCAATGTTTTCGAGCGGGGTGTCATCCCCCTTTGCGATTCGTAGATTCCTCTTGGTCTGCCAATCAATCATGAGGACGACCCCTGAAATATGCTCAAGCATAGGCCCTGTGTTGCCATCTGGGCAAGCTGCAGGGAGCAGAAGACCAGGGAAAGTTGCTGTTTAGCTGGTTCTTCAAGCATGTGTCATCAGTTTGTTTGGCCCGTTAGACACTCGGTGATTGAGAGCACGCTCATTTTTATGGAATAATTTTGATGCTCATGCCTCCTCTTGCTTCTCCATGTCGGTCTCGTCAAGATTCCACAGCACTTCCGATGCCTCCGGGCATAGATAACGGCATGATTATTCAGCCATTTGATTCGGGGTCCACCCAATGGGCAAACTGTGTTTCAGCAACCAACCCTGGGCCCCTGTCGATTCAAGCGAAAGCTCTGAAGAGGTCGTTTCAACACTGCTAGTCTTCAATGTTGTTGGCAAGTGTTTAGGTGTTGTTTTCTGTTTCTGTTTAATTGTAGTATGGGGCTGCAAACAAAATGCTACTTTCAACGCATGGGTTAACGCTTCAACGCTTCAACCATAGTTTCAAAGCTTTCAACGCTTCAACCAGTTGTAAAGTAGTTAAAGCATGGTTTCAACGCTTCAACCAGGCGTTGAATCGCCCAACCATGGACCCTTCACCCTCCAACGACCGTTCCTGGGTCCAAATAGGTTCTTTTGAAGGCTCGGGGTCTTCGGGGTCTCCCAATGAATCCCCGACCCGTGGCACCTCGCCGGATTTGCGCGAATCTGACCTTGGCAAAAAGCAAGCTCCGGCTTGGCCTGCAAATACTGTATGCGGCAATGAGGCCGCAAACAGCACAAAAGCCTCAACAACAGCAAAAGCACACGAGCAAAGCAAACACACGCTCAGGGTAGAAGCCAAAACAAAGGAAGAGCAATGCAAAGGACAAAGCAAAAGGCAACACAAACATAGCAACTTGTGCGTTTTCATGGTTTTCCTTTCCCCTGTCAGGACGTCTTGGCCTTCTTCGCTCAGCACGACGTGGTGGACCGAATCTCTGAGGGCCCAAAGGCTTGGATCTAGGATCCAATCCCTCCCTCCACCCCTTCCCGGGTTTCCCGAAATATGGCCACAAGGAAAATCGGTCTGGACCCTCAAACTACCCAACTAAAAATGGGTCACTGCCCAACAACTACCAGTCAAAACTGCGTTATCTGGACCCTCAAACTACCCGGTGGGTTATTTCCCCGTTTTTCATGGGTAGTTTGAGGGTCCAGGTGTCTGTGTTTGAGGGTACCCCCCTGTTTGGTGGGTCTTAAAGGGATGCCAAAAGGAAACCACCCTTTTTGGTGTCTCCCCTATTTTGAGGCAAACCCATAGGAACTCCAACGGGGAAATCTAGGATTTTCTGTCTAGGGCTTTCGAGCTGAGCATCCCACTGAATAAACCATGGGGCTTGTTGCAAAAGGGAAGGCCCTCAAAATCGAGGGATTCTCTTTTGGCCGCCTTGCAAACAACCCATGAAAGGGAACACAACCACACATGGACACACACACACCCCGCCATACAGACACACAGACACACACAGAGAGAGACAGAGAGAGAGAGAGAGAGAGAGAGACAGACCCACTTCAACTCCCAAGGGAGGATGCTAATCCTTCGAGTACAACTGATGAGTCTCGAGTGGGTGAAGTTTCGGCTCGCGATGCACTCAGTTTCCCTCTAGTGGCGAAAACGTTACCAGAAAGAACAAGAAGCACAAACCAAAAGGACTTTACATCACCAACTCCAAATGTCGCAGGTACGCCGGATTGATCAGATCCGGTATCCCATGACTGAGGTAGCTTCGTTGAGTGCGGTCCCTCAGTCATGCCGCACTCCCCTGCGCTCAAATGTGGTGACAGGGTATTCTGCCACTCCGCACACACACGCCCCTCAAAGAGGGGCGAGACCACTTTTTCGGGGGGGGAAAAACGCGCCCCAAAACCGGGCGAAGACCCCAACAGAAAACAAACAGAGCAGGAAAGCAAAACAACCAGAAAGGCCCCACGTTGGGTCTCCGCGGGCAAAACCCAACCAAGAAACACGAACAAGGTCCTCGTTCCAAGGCTGGTTGTTTTCCGAGAGGTCCATGTATGATGGTGTCCACTACCCTCACACCACTACCCCCACACCACTACTGTCGGGGGGGTTGGTAAGGTTTAATGGAATTTACAATCACTCTGTAGCCTCGTACATGCCCCACTCCGTGGTGGTGGGGTCAGTGGAAGCCATCTTCAATTACCCCCCCCCCCCCTCACCCCAAAAACAAGCCGAAGAAATTGGTACTTTCCACAGTACCCTCCCTCCAGTTAACATGGGTCTTCGCTTGAAAAGGAAATTGGTCTTCCAAGCATTGGTTGGGGTCCCCACCCCAACAAGAAAAAGGCATCAAACAAATCGGGTAAATTCCGTGGTACCCCTCCTCCCCTCTCCCCCTCCCCACCAAACAACACAACCCCTTAATCAATGAAAGGCAAAGGAAATCGACAACAAGAGGTCCGTCTTTCCCTCCTCGCGACCTGTCCGCAGCTCCCTGGGTTTAAACCTTCCCTTCGCAGGGGTTCGAAGGGCTTCGAAGGGGGCGGAAGCGCCGGCGAGGCGGTGAGTCTGATCCTGCGGGCCAGCGGCAAATCCTCAGGCGCACGCTGAGCCCCGGGCGGACCCGGGACCCGTGCCTGGGCTGGATGGGTGATGCTTTTCCGGAGTCCGCGCTAGACATATAAATATATAATAATGTCCACCATGGATTGGCCAAATTCAGCGGCTTCTGTCAACCTCCATGTGGGAAGTTTGAAGCTGTGCTTGAAATTTGTCGTGAACTCTGGAATACCGGCGCGGCGGGTCGGCTCCAGGCAGCCAAAGCAACAGTTGTGTACCTCTCCTGTAGCTCTTGTATACATGTACATGTCCTTTGTTACTTTGGCTTCTGGGAGTAGTGGTGTGAAATCTCTCGCCGCGACAAGTGCCAGTCCAAGCTTGTGGCATGTTGTCAACGGCTCCTACTGGCTTTATGGGTTACACCTATGCAGAACTTGCCATAGAGTCAAAGTTCAACGGGTCAAACGGCTCATGGGGGCATTCCGTTCCCTTTGAAAGGTCCGCCGGTCATTCCAAGTTTTGAGCCACCTGTCAGGCGATCTTCGGCTTATCTACTGATCATGGCGGCCAATTGGTTCCACTACCCCCGAGTGCCCTTTAACAATGCAACCTTTAGGAGTAGTTCGACCACCCAAAGAAGCAATCAACGGACCTACAATTGGCCGCCTTCTTGCGGGCCTTGCAATTTGTCCATTCCAGACACAGTCTTCTTTGCTCGGAACGTTCAAGTTTAGTAGTTTAGTATTTGGTACATGTACTTATCGAGATATGCTACAATGTCTCATAGATATTTGTTTACCACATGTTTTGAGAACCACCCCCTGATCGACCCATGTTCCAATACCGTCCCATCCGCCATTTCGTGGTCCATAAGTCACCAGTCACAATTAGGCTGCGATGGCTCCACTTGCTTTGGCTTTGAATCAGAGAAGGGACAAAGGGGGTGGAAGACCAAAGCAGAAATTTGTTCGACCACCAAAGGACCCTCATGTAAAGATTCTCCAGTGCTTCCATTATAAGCCGCAAACTTCGCATCATGATTCCATTATATAGTGGGTAACTAAACGGAAAACCAAACGGACCAAGCGGAAAACGGTCTGACCAAACAGAAGAACCACCACGTCGACCTAAACGGGGGAAGGAAAAAAACCGGCTCGTTGCCTTTATAGCTGGGACTAGGACCCGGTCACCCGGATGATCGCCAGGCCAGGCCCTTGTGCAGATGCGGGACCGCGCGGATGCGGAGCTGGCGCAGCGGGCGCGGAGCCGTGGGCGGTTTCTCGCCGGCGATCGCCGGAACTCGACACGTGGAAGCTGCACCGGGGTCCCCTAAGCTCCAATGTTTTTTTGCTTTTGGGAGGGTTTTTTTTAATATTTGTTCAGATCGGGTCCACTCCTATGTTTTGCTTTTGGGAGGGGCATGAATATTGGTTCAGATTTCGCCAAATATGGAAGAGACTGGGGACATGTCCTGACTGGTCACCCGAATATTTCCTGCACTTCTTGTTGCTTCTTGGGGAGGCCAATTTAGTGGTAACACGAACAGTTTAGTTTGGCGATTCCACTCGCAAAATGAGATACAAGACCCCGCAGTTGGTACACACAGATTCCCAAACTTTGATCTGGTGGCCGGATCACGCAAGTTAGGCCATTCCCAATCTCCTTGAGGTTGCCAGGCAATGGATGCTGTATTAGCTCTGAAAGCAAACTAAGCAAGCCTACCCATTTTGTGAAGTTTTTGTTTGAAGACTGGCTCACTTGCCCGACGACGCCTTTTCCTCCGTGTTGGTCCACTGTTGTAAATGTTCCAGACAGTTGAGCACCTTTAGCATTCAGGTCCTTGGAGCGAGGTCCTGTAAGCACAAGGAGCTAGTAATTGGCTTAGTGACTCAAGTTCATTCCCAAACGGCTGACTCAAGCAACATCTTGAATGTGGCGCTTTTGAGCATGTGGCAAAACGTGAGTTTGGGGGATTCTACGTTCTGTGAGTGGTCAAATTGGTCCTTTCAATTGACGCAGGTCATGGTTGGATACAGGAATCAACCACTTTGGTATCACAGGGTTATTCTCCACGTGCCAGGTTGTCCCATGTTTCACCAAAGGTTGCTTCAAGAACTCCTTTGGAAAGAGTCAATTAGATCTGTGTGCTTTGGGCAGTTGGGTATTCTTGAAGGGAACACGCCAGGTGGAGAACCTCCCCTCCACCAAGCCAAGGTCAATTTTGATACCTCTTGAGCCTGCAATGAACCACTTCTTGGCTACCCTAAATGGGGGCCCAGGCTAATTGTAGTTCATGAACAGGCCCCTTTGAAGCCCAACGGTCAGGTAGACAACTGGGGTGGACTAGTCAGCCTGAAGTATTAACATTCACCCAAGCCTTTTCCCTCAAAACCAAGCAGCCTCCCGCAAAATCGGCCATCCAAAGCTTGCATGCTGTCTCTCACCCCGTCGCTTGACGCATCCCGCGTTTGCAGGTGTTGAACGGACAGTGGATGGGAACTCGCTACATCGAGGCCAGTAAACCTCTTGCTGAGCGAGATTCCCGCGGTTTGACTTGGGTGGGGAAGAGTGTTTCCTCAGCTGCAAGGTAAAAGCATGGAATCAAAAGATAATCTCTTTCTGGACCCTGTCTTTGGGGTGCAAGGAAAAGTGGTTGAAGGCTAAAGGTAAGTGGCACCACACCTTTTCTTACAGCTGAAAACTTAAGTGATCCAGACCCTTTGTTCTCCATTTGTTGAAAGGCTTTCAAGTAAAAGGCTTCCTCAGATTAGTCAAGGCCCAAAAAAGTCAAGACTCTTTCCATGAACTATCAGAGGGTTGTCCATTTCTTCGCAAAGAACATCAACCCCTTTTGTGCTCTTTGTTTTTCTGGAGTTGCCACCGCAAGGGCCAAGGATGTCGGTCCACTGCTTGGATATCAGATGGGTCTCAACCTACGGAGCCCCTTGTGGATGGTGGCTTTAAAGGGAAACCAAAGGGAAACCAAGCAGTTCTGGGGGTCCCCATTTTGAGACAGACCCATTTAGGTTTATGTATTTTCCGGACTGTATCAGCAGCGTCCCTTTTCCTGTTGGTTGGTAGGACAACAGACAGGTCGGTTTCAGTGGCCCTCCAAAAGACGGGTAGATGGAGTTTGGGGTAAACCAATCCCTCAATTTCTACCCCAAAAGGACAAGCGTGCGCAGTTGCAATAGACACGCATCTCGCAATTCCTTTGATGATCATAATTCCATCCTATATCCTTTGCCTTTTCTCCGTTGGAGACGCTTCCTTGAATCACTCACAGGGGCTGGGGGGGAGGGGGGGGGGGGAGCCCAAATAAGCCCTCAGGGCCCATATTTGGGCTCCCCCCCCCTCCCCCCAGCCCCTAACCCCCAACGAGTCTTCCCAGTCCTTTGGGTCTACCAGGTCTTCCTGAACGACGAGGATGCGGAACCGCAGAATGCGCTTGCGGCCGCCACGGCTGCAGCCACTCGGAAAGAAAGAAAAAAGTGCAACGCCACAAGCCATGGGCAAGGGTCATGGTTGCTTGGCAATCATATGTGGGTGTCTTGTTTTTCTTTTGCTATTTGCTGTTTGCTTGTGGTGTTAGTCGTTGCTCTTTGTTGTGTTGGGTCTTATTTGTGTGTGTTTGCATTGCGTTATGTTGTTGGCTATGTGTTGTTAGTGGTTGTTTGTTTGGTTGGTTGTTATAGACATATATCCGTCCTTTGGTTGTGTGTTTGTTTGCTTGCTTGTGCGCTTGTGTATTACTTTGTTGTCTTTCTTTTGTTCGTTCGTTCGTTCGTTCTTCCTTCCTTCCTTCCTTCCTTCCTTCCTTCCTTCCTTCCTTCCTTCCTTTCTTCCTTTGCTTCCTTTCTTCTTGCTTTTTGTTTTCGAATGCTTGCTTTCTTGCTTGCTGGCTTGTTAGTTAGTTTCCTGTATCTGTTTGCTTGTTGGCTTGTTTGTATTCCTGCCTGTGTGCGTGTGTACTTGCTTGCGTTTGTGTGTGCGTGTGTCCCTATTTGTTTGTTTGGTTGTGTTGGTATTTGTTTGTTGCCTGTTGTCTTGTTTGTTTGCTTCTTTATGTGTTGATTTCTTTATGTGGTCTTCTGCTGCTGCTGCTGCTGCTGCTGCTGGTGCTGCTGTTAGTGGTGTTGTTGCTCTTGGTGTTGTTGTTGTTGCTGCTGCTGCTTGTTGTTGTTGTTGTTGTTGTTGTTGTTGTTGTTGTTGTTGTTGTTGTTGTTGTTGTTGTTGTTGTTGTTGTTGTTGTTGTTGTTGTTGTTGTTGTTGTTGTTGTTGTTGTTGTTGTTGTTGTTGTTGTTGTTGTTGTTGTTGTTGTTGTTGTTGTTGTTGTTGTTGTTGTTGTTGTTGTTGTTGTTGTTGTTGTTGTTGTTGTTGTTGTTGTTGTTGTTGTTGTTGTTGTTGTTGTTGTTGTTGTTGTTGTTGTTGTTGTTGTTGTTGTTGTTGTTGTTGTTGTTGTTGTTGTTGTTGTTGTTGTTGTTGTTGTTGTTGTTGTTGTTGTTGTTGTTGTTGTTGTTGTTGTTGTTGTTGTTGTTGTTGTTGTTGTTGTTGTTGTTGTTGTTGTTGTTGTTGTTGTTGTTGTTGTTGTTGTTGTTGTTGTTGTTGTTGTTGTTGTTGTTGTTGTTGTTGTTGTTGTTGTTGTTGTTGTTGTTGTTGTTGTTGTTGTTGTTGTTGTTGTTGTTGTTGTTGTTGTTGTTGTTGTTGTTGTTGTTGTTGTTGTTGTTGTTGTTGTTGTTGTTGTTGTTGTTGTTGTTGTTGTTGTTGTTGTTGTTGTTGTTGTTGTTGTTGTTGTTGTTGTTGTTGTTGTTGTTGTTGTTGTTGTTGTTGTTGTTGTTGTTGTACTG